GACTGTGGATGGGGAACCTCAAAAATGTGGTGGCTACCTTCGTCGCCCACATCATCATCATCATCATCATCAAAATAATGAAAATGCAAAGACAGGATTCAGTTCCTAGACCTACTGTTCGTGCAATTGTGCCACAACAGGCCCGTGTTCCAGTCAGCCACGAAGGCATAAAACGGCATTCAAGTTCAACCGAATTAAGTGCACAATATGTTTAACCTCACCAGACAACCATCAAAAAGAAGAATACCACACCTGCAAGACGTGGGCCTGCCTGGTCCATTTTCATGTAATGTTGCAAAATGTCGCTGTGAAAGTGCTGCAGAATAAGAGGTTTCTGAATGTTCGATACGGCTTCTCGCTGCAAAGAATGCAATTCACAAAGGATCGCAAGGGACAGCCGGAACGGCAGGACATCTCAAAAAAGTTGCAGAACAGAAAGGCCAACTGTTGCGATTTACTTAGATGAATTACTAAATTAAAATGTGTAAATTCGGCAGTCAAAACAGTCATCACTCACCCTAAAAAGGGTTGCCTCAAATGGCTCCATGGCACCATGTCGGAGCCACCATGGAAATCACACTAGACAAGAATGGATCATTATATGATCCGGCAGGAACTGAATCCTGAAACATGCAGATTAGACACGAAACAATGAAATTAATGATGCATCCTATGAATAATAGAAGTACTTCAGAATGGTCATCGAGTTCAGAATCGCCATCAAAAAGAATAAATAAACCAGAAATAATATCATCGGCGATGTCTCGGCGAAGCCTAGCCAATAAAGAACCGTCGGCGACGATGGTGTCGGCGATCATGTAAACGAAATGTTACAAGTATGCTTTCTACGTCCTTGCTCTGAGGGAGGTTCTGATGCAACGAAACAAATCGTAAATGACCAAATTGATTCCAGATTGCGAAAACAGTGCAGTGAATTGAAATTTCAAATACACAACGTGGAGGTTCTTGGGTTGAGCCTCTTCCCATTCCAGTAAAATTGGCAGGTACGTGACAAAGGCGTCCCTTCGTCATATCACAGCAAATGATGAAGTGTCTTCGTTGGGTGGTGACTTCATCATTGCTCACCACTCCCCTGCAAATGTGAAAAGATCCCCTGCAATTGTAAAAAGATTAGAATCATAGAAGTTTTACATCTGTTCAGATGTTACACACACACACACCATCTTTCACACACAACTTTGTCACACCCCGTCTTTCACACACAACTTTTTCACACACCATCTTTCACACACACACACAACTTTTTCACACACCATCTTTCAAACACAACTTTGTCACACACCCTCTTTCACACACAACTTTGTCACACACTTTCTTTTACACCAACTTTGTCACACACTTTCTTTTACACACAACTTTGTCACACACACACACACTCTCTTTCACATACAGCTTTGTCACAAACACCATCTTTCACACACAACTTTGTCAAACACCATCTTTCACACAACTTTTTGACACACAACTTTCACACACACCATCTTTCACACACAACTTTGTTGCACACCATCTTTCACACACAACTTTGTCACACACCATCTTTCCCACCTACGCATTGCGCGGCAGGTGTGGCACCTGGCGACATCCACCCACAGTTTGCGTGGCAGGCGTGGCACTCGGCGACATCGACCTTCGTTTGGCCTGGCAGGCGTGGCACTTGGTGACATCCAGGCTGCAAGTGAGTCCATCTCTCTCAAATACAACTTTGTCACAGACAATTTTGTCACGCACAACTTTGTCACACACAATCTTTGTCACACACAATCTTTGACACACACACACAACTCTTTCGCACACAACTTTTTCACACACATCTCTCTCACATACAACTTTGTCACCCACAACTTTGTCATACACAATCTTTCACACACATCTCTCTCACATGCAACTTCTCTCTCTGTCTCACACATCTTTGTCGCACACAACTTCAATTTTGTCACACCCAACTTAGTCACACACAACTCTTTCACACACAACTTTGTCACAAACAACTTTGTCACATACACACAACTTTGTCACACACTTGGGTACACCCCGAAGGGAGAAGATGAAATGAGATGAAATGAATCGTCACATGTGGCCATCATGTATGCAACATGACCTTGCTACCTACCCTAGAAAACGCATGACATGATATGACAAACGGCAAACGGTGAGCTGGTTCTTGGGTTAGCCGGATCCCATTCCGGATCCCATACCAAGAGCAGGTACAGGTTCATGCGTCCATGAGCCCTTCCACCACATCTTCCATAGCTTCGTTGGGAAACATAGGAAGATGGGCTGTTGCCCCCCTGCTTACACCCTTTGATTCAGGGCTTCCCACACACACAACTCTTTCACCCACAACTTTGTACAACTTTGTCACAGACAATCTTTCACACACAACTTTGTCACACGCAATCTTTCACACACACACACACAGCTTTGTCACACACACAATCTTTCACACACAGCTTTGTCACAAACAGCTTTGTCATACACAACTCTTTGACACACAACTTTGTCACAAACAACCTTTCACACACAACTCTTTCACTCACTTTCACACACAACTCTTCACATACCACCATCTCCTTTGTCCTATCTTCTTTCTCCGTGCCGCTTCAACCACTTTCTCTGATTATTGGAAGATGTTGACTTGTGGGGTTATCCGGTCCTTTATTTTTTCTATGTTATTGTATGTGTTTGTGTGTTAGTGTATAATTTTTGTATATCGTTGACATCAACCGCTCATCACCCCTACTCCCCAGGTGCACCAAAGCCACCTGATTCAAGGCTTCATCCGAGATGAGGGGCATCAACTGGGCCACATCACCAGCACAGAGCCTAAGCCATGACAAACTGCTAATGGCATCATTTAGCGTTGTTATGAATTGTTATGCATGAGATCTTGGGGAATACTTATATATATATATATATCTATCTATCTAAAAAAAACATACATATATATATATATATATGTATGTGTGTGTGACTGTTCACACCCACATGCTGCCACGCGAACACTTTTTGGACATGGGAATCCGCTGGCAAAGGGATGAACCAAATCCATACAATATGTTAAAACATTCATTCGAAGTTCCTTTAAATGCCAGAAACGTTGGTGAATTCAACCAGTCTCATCATCATCATCATCTTCATCTTCATCTTCACCTTCATCATCAACATATCCTCATCCCAGGTAACCTGGTCAAATGCAACAAACTAAACACTGAACACATAATCAATCAAACTTGCTGAACGTACATCAACAAAAATCGAGTGGACTTCCACCAAACCAGATTCAATCAACACCCAGGAACATGTGCAGAACCTCCTTAGCGAAGCTTACTTCCTTTGTCGGGATCGAAACTTGACGCAAACCGGCCAAACCAAAGTTCAAATGGAAGCCTTCTGGCGTGCTCCTGCAGCATAAAGGGGTGCCCAAGTTAAACTCTCATAATGGCTTCTGCCAAACAACCCTGTTTCAAAGCTGAATCACTCATGCCAAATCTCTTCTTGTTACGTGGCTCAAACCTGTGCAATCCTCCAACAATAAAAACACAGAAGTAAGCAGCGCTCGATCCAACCAATGTAAATCAAAAACGAAAACCATGCACTTGTTGTATGTTCAAACTGATTCAAGGAACATCAGTAGCATCATCACTACTAATTAAATCTAATCATATAGTTTGATAGGATTGATTTTATCTATCTATCTATCTGTCTGCCTGTCTGTCTGTCTATCTATCTATCTATTTATCTATCTATCTATCTGTCTGTCTGTATGTCTGTCTGCCTATCTAATCTAATCTAATCTAATCTATTCTATCTATTAGTTTTTTTAATCCATGAATCATAATCAATGCTCACAGCTCTTGCTGTGGATCCAACGGCTCCTCAGCAGCGCCAGACCACAGCATGACGCGCTCACCGCGTCCTTCGCCAAGGTCTCCTCGGCCAAGGCGTCCAGCTGTGCGGAGCGACGCGACGCCATGGTCGCCATGCGCACACACCGTGTGAGCCGCGTGGGGAATGAGATGTCTCTGGGCCAACTGAGAATTTAAAAAGGCAATGGACTGAGCATCTTTCAAAATCTCTTCCAACTAATTTTGGTTCGTGAAAATGTGGATTGATGTCTGATTGAGTTACAAATTGCTTCAATCACAAGACAGGATTCAACTGCCAGTAAACCATCTGCCACCATTCTGCCACCAAAATCCAGGATCTGCCGTTGCCAGTGCTCCCATCATCCAACGGGAGAATCGCCGTTGCCAAGACCAAAAATCGCCACAGGTCGCGGCTAATGTTAGATACAGTACCAAAAATGATACATGCATAAGTTTTGGTAGGGAAATGACTAGATTCCTCATCCCTCCGTCAAAAAACAACTATACATACTCGCCATTACTCTCCCTCATTTTCCCGAAACAAAGATACTTCGTATGAGACCCCAAATGGTCAGAATAGCAGTTATCACATACGGCACTAAACAATCCGTCCGAGGTTTGTCCGTAAAATTTGAGCGGTGGTTTGTCCGTAAAATTTGAGCGGTGGCCCCATTTCAACAGTATTCCAAACCATTGTTTAATTTTGGGTTACGCGCCGTTAAAACTTAAACCTCCTAAATGGCTCGTTAAATGCCGATGCTTCCCAGTACAGTAGATGATGGTTCAAATCATATGGAGAAGGTGATTACCCGTACCAACCATTCAGCAGCAACGCTTGACCGAACTGAGACACTTTTTGACGAAAGCATACGCACACACATATACACAGCACATACAATCGACGTTGATTCATGACAATTACATGCCAGCTCAAAAACTTGACCAGCCTCTTTAGGCTCGTTCTATCTCGTTCTCTTTTGTCGAAGTATACACCTCCTGAAGTGCTCAGCAGCAAGCTCAGCAGCCAGGGTGACCCGGTTCCAACGTTAAAATTTGCTCGCTGGAGCTGATGTCGCCACAGCCACAGGCACTTCGGATGGACCGTTTCGCTCAGCATCCACCCTCCCATGTCCAAAAGCCACTCCCAAATCCAGGCAGGGGCACACATTTTCCATTGATCGGATCTGCCTCAATGGTCGGTGGATTTTCCGCACAACTGCCACGAAAATAGACCCGGATGTGGAGCTTGTTACTTCCCGTGCACTGGTAGTACACGGCCACGCCGCTCTTGTCCTTCTCACAAGAATCTAAGGGAATTGCGGCAGCAGTAACGTTCTCGAAGATACGTTTGCTGTCGCAAACATCGTCGGAATAGAGTTTCACCTGGGAATGGGAATTAAAAAACAAGAGAACTCAGAACCCACAGGGTTTGGTCATTTCAAATTAACAATCTATTTTGGAAGGTGTGGGAGGTACTGCGGTACCCATAGGTACCCATCGGTACCCATAGGTACCCATCGGTACCCATAGGTACCCTATTCTCAGACGACCCACCTGAACCCCGTTGATCGAGGAGGCTGCTTTCGCCGCAGACGTGAAGCCACCCATCGTGGTAATGGCTGCACTGGAGACGAGCTCACGACGGGTTGTGGAAGGCACCACGAAGGATGGGAACACGACGTACCCAATGCGAGCCAACAAAGCGCACAGAATGAGCACCGAAAATGCGCTGGAAGATGCCATGGGTCAAATGTCTATTGTGTTCTTTTCCGACAATTTTTTCGTGGCGAGGATGCCTCTTAGCATCTGGAGCCAAAAGCCAGTTCTCTACATTTGTATGGAAGCCGGGGGTTCTTATGGTTGCGGATTTTTTTCTCCATTAGAATTCAGTTGACTGATGCTGATGAATATAATCCCTATGAAGTATGTAACCTGAGTAATCCCTTCTCCCTATTACTAACCCCCCCAAATACTAAAAACTAGTGTCCATCTCCAATTTTTGGAAAATTTCTGATTAGCCAATTTGACTTTTAATTGATCCCCTTTAGAAAACAATTAAAAAAATAAATCTACCATTTGTGTGTTTTCCCCCCTAATACTAAAAACTAGTTCACCCCGGGGTGTTTATTATTAGGGTCCGTCCGAAATTTGTTTGTTTTTATTATTAATTTAAGGTTTTTAATTTAGGATTAGGAGGAAGCTTCGAAATCTAATTTTTGGCAATATTTTAATTGCGTTATATAAAGAAATTTAATTGATTTTGAGATCGGAAAATAGTTTTTATTATTAAGCGTTTTAATTGGGTGCAGAATTGTTTTTGGAATTTATTTTTTTTACAGTTTTGGATTCAATTTTGGGTTTCGTGCCTCTTCAATTTTTCCATTGTTTTCTTCATTTTTTCTATTGTTTTCTTCAATTTTTCCATTGTTTTCTTCAATTTTTCCATTGTTTTCTTCATTTTTTCCATGGTTTTCTTCAAATGTTCCATTGTCTTCTTCAATTTTTCCATGGTTTTCTTCAATTTTCTATGGTTTTCTTCAATTGCCCATGGTTTTCTTCAATTTTCCATGGTTTTCTTCAATTTTCCATGGTTTTCTGCAAGTTTTCCATGGTGTTCTTCAATTTTTCCATTGTTTTCTTCAATTTTCCATGGTTTTCTTCAATTTTCCATGGTTTTCTTCAATTTTTCCATGGTTTTCTTCAATGTTTCCCTGGTTTTCTTCAATTTTCCATGATTTTCTGCAAGTTTTCTATGGTTTTCTTCAATCAATCAATCAATCAATCAACCAACCAATCAATCAATCAATCAATCAATCAATCAATATATATATATATATATGTATGTATGTATGTATGTAGGTAGGTATGTATGTATATGCAGGGTGTGGTTTAGGGTTTAGGGATACAACATGTAGGTATAAGTACATAATTATTTGTAGTTTCTTTTGGGATCAAAGCTGTCTATAAAAACAACCACAAATATGTCATATATATATGTATACGTATGTATATCTATAAGTAAATATGTATGTGTATTTAATATATATATATACTTATAGATACATAACAATATAAATATATACACATTGATATGTATATAATACATATTAATATGTATATATATATATACATTTATATAAGTACATAAATATATATCAATATAAGTGTATATATAAATGCAAATATATACATTTACATATATATATGTCTAAATATATATATATATGTCTAAATATATATATATGCCTAGATATATATATATATATATAAATATAAATTTTAACATAAATATTAATATAGTCGAATCAAACTAGTGTATTGAAAAGTGTGCAAGTTTGAATTTAAATAATTAAAAAAGCGGGAGGGGGGGGATTGGGGGGGAGGGCCAGCGCCTCCTCCCCAAAGCGATTTGGAAACGCGCCTATTTACATGAAAGGTGCTGGGTTGAATGTTTATCTCATAGGTGTGATAGTTAGACTACAACGACATGCACCCCTGGAAACATGTGGAATACTTATATATACTCGTTATATATATACATACTTATTCATATATATATATATACATTTAAATGTATATACATATGAATGTATATATATATAAGTACATAAATATATATATATATATATTAATATGTAAATATAAATATATAAATATAAATACTTAAATATAAATATATAAATATAAATATATCAATGTATATATATAAGTACATAAATATATATTAATATGTAAATATAAATATATAAATATAAATATTTAAATATTTAAATATAAATATATAAATATATAAATATAAATAAATATAAATAAATAAATATAAATAAATATAAATAAATATAAATATATAAATATAAATATATAAATATAAATATATAAATATACATATAAATATATATATAAATATATAAGTGTATATATACATGCATAAATATATATATATATATATATATTTACATATATATATATGTATATATATGTAAATATATATATAAATGTAAATATATACATATATATATATGAATGTGAACATAAAAAGTAATAATATGTATATATATATAAAATAAATAGAAAATATAAATAATAAACAAATATTTAGATATACATATATAAGTGTGTATATAAATGCATATATATATATATACATATATATATATATATGTATATGTTAATATATATATATACATATACATATATATATGTATATGTTAATATATATATATATCTTAAATTAAACATAAATATTAATATAGTCGATTCAAACTAGTGTATTGAAAAGTGTGCAAGTTTGACATACTAAAAATACCACCAAAAGCCATGGAAAGCAAGCCAAAAGCCAAAAGCAAACAAGCAAAACAGCAAAAATAGAAAAAAGAAAAAAGTAAAAAAAAAGCAAAAAAACAAAAAGCAAACAAGCAAAAAAGCAAAAAAACAAAAATGCAAAAAATCAAAAAAAGCAAAAAGCAAAAAAGCACAAAAGCAAATACGCAAAAAAGCAAACAAGCAAAAAAGCAAAAAAAACAAAAAAAAAAAAAAAAAAAAAAAAAAAAAAAAAAAAAAAAAAAAAAAAAAAAAAAAAAAAAAAAAAACAAAAAAAAATCCAGAAACGTAACAACATATTAAGGGATTTAATTTAATATTAGGGGGAAGCTTCGAAATCCAATTTTTGGCAATATTTTAATTGAGTTATATAAAGAAATTTAATTGATTTTGAGATCGGAAAAAAAAAGTTTTTTTATTATTAAGGGTTTAATTTTACTAATAGGGTTCCCTAATAATAAATACGACCCTAATAATAAAAACTACCTACCGTGTTTATTAATGGGGGGGGCATGGGGGTATAGTATTAGGGAGAAGGGATTAACCAACCTATAACGATCCGTATTCATGGACCAGCAGAGTCTACAGTTTACAGTCCATTTTTTAAATGTTGATTCTCATTGGCTAGGTTTGGAGGAACATTTGCTACAACAAAATGCAATAAACAATGCCAAAAAAAAGACAAATGCTTTGGAAGGTGTAATGCCCCAACACATGCTCAAAAAATATCGTGGCTAAATTTGGGTACCCTGGGGCCAATTCATGTTTGACTAGGTGCCAGTCATATTCCACAATGGCCAACTAAGGGATAAAACGATCCGAGGCTTCTCCGGAATTTCAATCCCAAGCTTGGCCAAGTCCCAACACCTCCCCATGGATGGAACAGGTGTTGAGCCATTGGACTTGACCAAGTGTGGCGTTCACACTTGGCTTACTGAAGAATCCGCCATTGAGTTCGATGGTTTTCCCATTGAGCCTCCACTTTTTTGGGGATTTGCCATTGCCATGGCCTGGGATTTGCTTCTAGTGCCCCAACAAAATAAGCCGCCATATCCTTTATTATATATATACAGTATAATCTACCAAAGACCAACCATCAAAGCTATATATAGTGGTTTCCGGCAGGTTTCCACATCGTTCAATTCTACATATTCTACGACATACTGTGGATGGCTGCGAAACCCTGACCACCTTGGATGATTTGGATGGTTGAAACATGTTGAAACCTGTTGAAACCCTATAAATAATGGGATATTTACCACCGATCAAAACTTCATCAGCCATTGAGTACAGCTTGAGGCACTGCTCCCGCTTCATGGCTTTCCGCTTCAAGGACGGGGAGCGCCGCGGTTTCAGCGCGGATTCCTGGGATGGGGTGATGCCAGGGGCGTGGCCTGTGGTTTCTATATTCTATATCTTCATTCCTATGATCTTTGAATATCTTTGAAAATCAACAGCTGCAGTTGTTTTTTCCTCACTGCTTGATGTGTTTTTTTCGGGGTACCATTGGTATCATCTATCAAACATATATACCCTCTGGTGAACTAACATAGCACTGGAAAATGGCTATTTATAGTGGATTTTCCCATTAAGAATGGTGATTTTCCATTGCTATGTTAGTTCACCAGAGGGTACATAAGATTTGGATCGCAGTTTGGTTTTCCGAAAATCTGCTGACAAAGTTTGATATAGTTTGATCATATTTTGAGCCATTCTACTTTCGCCAGTCAGGAAATTGGCGTGTACCTCAAGGCCGCAGTCAAGGAAGTATGACCGACCAGGGTGGTGATACAATCACTCATACTCAAGTTCTGAACTGCCGGTGCAGGGTTTGCACATGGTTTGTTACTGGGCTATATCCCGTAACAAACCCCAAGTAAATACACCAAGTAAGTCCATCCAATGCCTTCCCCGTAATATCAAACAATAACACCCCAAAAAAATCCTGGGGGAACGTATGCACTAACTTCCGGGATCATCTCGGTGTAGTGGTTGATGGTAGTTGATCTGCTTTAACCTATAGGAGGGGGCCACGGTGACTGCATCGCAAAGTCATGGTTTTTGGTGTAGAGGTTTTAAACCTTGAACACCTTGGAAAGCACCCCTTTGAAACATGCTTCTGGTGAATTTAGACGTCACAAGATTCGCGGGCTGAAGTATCAACCGACCCAACTCTCCAATTGAGAAGTTCACCAGCACCTAAAGGCCAGTCAACATCTTGAGGCACGGATACACGCCTGCAAATCTATCCCAACTGCCAAAGCACAATCACTCTCTCTCTCTCTCTCTGCAAAACAGTCCAAACAGAAATCAAACAATTGAACGAAACCCTCACAATAACAAACACTTAATTACATTAGGCACATCCAAGGATGGATTCGGCTTCAACGCCCCTTCAACGCACCAAGTCTCAGAATTGGATTTTCCAAGTGCAGGAAGCCGGGGCGCCTGGCGCATCGTTCTTGGGATTTCCGGTGAATTGCCCTTGGACAAATTCACGGATCAATCTCTTTACTGTATTCAAAGCATATTCAAAGCATATCAAAGCATCCACCTATTTGGTCCAGAAATTTCACCAGAAGCCAGATTGCTTTGGCCAAGGAAGCAGCATCGGTTTGTTAAAAGTTCCAGCGACATAGTTCAACAATGTTCAACATAGTTTAACATAGCCACATCATAGCTGGCATAGCTAAAATATGCTATTTTAGCATCTAAAATCCCAAGATATCAACGAATTGCTTGATCAACTGGGGAAAAACGTGCTGGAACTCATCTTTTCGCCACGCCCACCTTGGCGCCCACCTTGGGACTCTGCAGCGAGGCGATGCTGCTCACGCTTTGCGGGGTCTTGAGGCCGCCCTCAGGACGCATTCGTCCCGGCTTTCACCAGACACAAATAGGTGATCATAGGCTCATAGGTGTTTTGATTTTTAGTTTTATTATGTTTTTATTCTTAGTTTGCCAAATCAATCATTTCATCTGCCTCAAATTCAATAATTCAATAATTCAATACTCATATGAGCCCCATAGAGTCGATGCCATGGTTTCTAGGCACCTTGTCCTTGGATGGCTGCGGGCGCCCAGTTTGCGCGTCCTGGTCGATGCCCAGCGCCTGCCTCGGGAAACGCGGGGCAGTTGTTTTCTTGGCGTTTCGGCAGAGGCGTCCCATAGATAGGTGAAACATGGTAAAACAAGGAAGTTCACCAGCAAGAATTGCGATTTACTAAATTTACGATGATTTTGGGGGAGTTAGAACTGGGTTAACTGCGGTTTATTAGTGGATAATATTGTGAATTAGTGTGATAATCCCTCTCCAGTTACAGGGATGGGGGTGCTGGTTGTGTCTAATGCAAAGTCAAGAAAACAGGGGGGCTCTTTCCACAATGCATAACGTCATTTAAATTGGACTCTCCATTCTACGAAATCTCAGCCACTGACCCCATAATGATCCCATTAAAATAGTGTTAGCTTTAACTTTTCTATCATGTTCTATCTTGGGTGGTGTTACTATAAACGCTACTCGTACTTGAAACAAAACTGTTCCCGCATCTTTCCGATAAGTTTCTTCCCTAAGTTCAATGACACCACCATCAGTTTCAATGGCTGGTTTGAACATCACCCAAAACTGTGGGGGTTTCCATCAATGGGAGTACCCCAATAGCTGAATGGTTTATGTCCGGAACAATCTTATTTCCAGTGGATGATTTAAGGGTACCCCCATGAAGATGGAAACCCCCATGTAGATGATCTGAGCAAAGACATCCCCATCTGCCAGCCTTACACATAGTATTTTCTTGGTGAAGGGTCAACGGGTCAAGTACATGGTCCCTAAATTGGATGTCCCCAATAAACAAAGTGGATATGCCGAAGATGCATCCACTTATCTGGGCAAAGTGCGAAAAAGTCACATGAGAATATGGCCATTTGCTGGGTCCCTGGGTGACCGATTCCCTAACATCTTTCGTTTTCTTCGCAAGGTGCTGTGCTATACATATACATATATATATATATGTATATATAATAAAAATATATATATAATTATATATGTGCAAATGTTCCCTTCAAACCCACCATTGTTGACCTTTTTTGGCCTTAAATAAGGGTGGGTAGATGTCCTCATTAAACATCACCCAAATATTGGGGTTATTATCTCCAACAAATACTTGAAAGTTATGTTCAAAATCCCCAAAAAGGTGTTTAACTTGGATTGGGTGGAAGGTTGAACCTTCCGTCCAAAACCTCAGCCACGCTGCAACAAGATCCCCATGATGGACAAATCGCCCTTGGCCGACGCCAGCACCGCTTCATGCTCGCGGAGGCTTCGAAGTCGATCCTCGGGGTACATCATTTTTTAATGACCAGGTTACACCACCCAAATGGCCTTTCTTTGGTAGAAAGATATTGCTTGTTGACATCATGGCCCATCTTGGATACTCTGCGTTTGTTGATTTAGCTGGTTAGTCATACAAATATGCAGCAAATATTTGTTGATATGATATGCCCCCGTAGAGTTGGTGCAAAACTAGACATCCAGTTGGTCTCGCATGATTTCAACCCTAGAATTCTTTTGTTTGTTGTGATCATCTTTTTCCAGGCAAGGGATGAACATCAACAGAACGCCCAAGACCCAAGGCTCTCCAAGAGGGATGCCCTTGTGGCTGAACGTCCTGCCGTGGGACTTTTTTTGGTTGGGAGCCTGAGGTGGAGTGACCGGAGGTTCAAATGATTCATGTGGAAAAAACGCTGGAAGATATGAGTGGTTTGAGTGGTTTGAGATGAAGTGGAAGGTTTCATGGTGAGGAATGAGATGAAGTGAGATAAAAAGCGAGATAAAAAAGTGAGATGATGTAAAATAATGGTGAGATGAAGCGAGATGAAGTGAGATAAAAAGCGAAATGAAATGAGTGGTTTCACTGGTCCATTTAAGGCTTTGTTTTCAGTTTTAACATGCTTAAATCCTAAATAGTGAACACACATTTGACAAAATGAACCTTTCGCTGGCCCAACTCCTTATGTCAAAAGAACCTGGTGGTGAAGGAAGTGGCATGTCAAAGCTCCCCAAGAGGGATGTCTAAAAATTGGGTACCCTAAATCCAATGTATATCATTTATCCCATTTGGATCGGTCCTTGGGTACCCGTTTTGGGTCCATGTTCATTCCCAAAGCTCGAACAGTTATTGACTCGAACGAGATAGGCCAGTCATGAAAGTCTTCCCCAAAGATGTCAGTCATTTCATAGCTATCACTGTCATTCCCAAGTTGTCCTCAGAGAAAAGGTTGCCCACTGGGAATCACTGGGACCCATATATGGGGGACCTGGACCATCCCCCCATGGCTCCGCCGGGCGCCCACAGCGCCTGGAGTTGCCCTCTTCCCAGTGCTCGATGGATTCGATGAGCTGATCTCGAAGCTGAGGATATTGCCGCAAGAAACCTGGGATGGGACCGAATGGGATCCAGAAATAGCTGGATGGGAAGATTTTGGATGGGGGGGGGTCCTTTCTCTGGGTTTCTGTGAGTTCTTTTAAGTGTTTGTTTTGGGGATGTCTATGCAACAAATGCATGTCGAATCAAATGTGGCGTTGTAATTTTGGAAATTGGAAAAATATGCCTATACTGCCTATACTATGCATAGACAAAAATATCAGTTTCATCATAAGTTCGGTCTACATATTGAATCAACTAATGTCACAGTATACAATCTGCAGTCTAAAATCCTGAAATACAATGCGGCCATCAAGTAAACATGATCAACCCATGAGAAGCTTGGCGACGCTTTCGGAACTTCTCTTCCTCGAGGAAGTGCTTAGAACTTCCCACCCAGCGTCCTCAGGTGCGCTCACAAGAGCAATGCAAACAAGTCAAAGAACAAACATCCACCCAAAAAAAAAAAAGATCGTCACAAAAATCACCGACGCAACAATAAACACATATTCCGTTCCAAGAGAATCTGTGACCGAAGTAGCCGCTCCAAGTAGCCACACAACAGCTCAACCCCAGAGTGGGCCCCCAGACAGTCCTTCTCCGGCTTGAGCCGCGCGCTCAAAGGATTCGCCTGCCAGAACCAGGGCCTTGAGCTCCTCCCGTTGACCCAGAATGACCTCGATCCGACGCGATTGCACCATGGTGCCCCAGTGAGATCAATCGCGAACATTAATTTACAAAAGTGGATTAACTTAACCGATTTATCATAGATTTTTAGCCTTCTATAGTAGTTTAGTTAACGATGCTTAAAACCAATTTGTAAATGCAGGGGCGCACACCACCTTGCAATGATTTAAAAGAGATTCAGCCTCTGATTCAAACGCTTGAGAAAATCTACCTTCTGACACCTTCTGATAATGCAACCTTGCATGGGACAAGAAGCCACTTGTAAATGATGGTCTTATTGAACATTATTGAACACTGGGATTTCTAGTGTCAGGTTTGCTGACATTTTCTTTAACAAAAGGACCATCCATCCTTAACTATCCTCAACTTAGGTGAGTTTGCTATAATTTGCTAACCTACTCCAAGTGGAGCTTAATGCGAACGAGCTCAATCCACGGCCCGCAGCCGGGACCTCCCAGCGAAACAAATCACGCATAAATTTCGAGGTCAACAGCCACTAACCCCTGTTAGGGACTTACATAACTTGCATTGGTTTATTAAACACTAACCTGGGTTGGTGGTTTCAACCCCTCTGAAAAATATTAGTAAATGGGAAGGATTATCCCATATATTATGGAAAAAATGTTCCAAGCCACCAACCAGACTAACTCTGTAACCCCATTTCGTTTTGAGTCGCGGCCGATATATCTAACCCCACAACATAAATAACAACGTATGCAAAGGTCAAGTTGGGACACGAATCTACAGGAACCATCCTTATCTACAGAATCTACAGTGTATTTTTCGGTTGACCGCTATCTGCCATGCTTTGAAAACTCCGTGTTGGTCAAAAACAGGGGGGTCCCTACATGTTCAATCATATTTTTCCATGTCTTTTCCTACTGAATTCATCGAAATCAAGCCCCACCACCGGTTTCCGGTTGGTTTCCGTCCGGCCACGCTGATGGACTCGGCGTAGTCCTCCATGCGCCGCAGCTCGTTCTCCAGCTGCATCCGACGAGCACGCGCAGTGGTCTCGTCCTCGACCGCACGGAAGAGCTGCTCCAAGTCCTTTGTGTCACCTAGGAACACACCAGGGGGGTTTATCCTATCTAGAATATACATGGAGGTTTATAGTTGGAATATCATCAAATCTTCGTCAATTCAGTCTAAATGGAGGTTTATAAGCTAGGAAAATCATCTAATATCATCTATAAACGGAGAATGTTCACTTTGGCCTGGTTATGACCCACGTAGTTAGGGAAGCCCTGGCCCATAAATGATGAACGATATATATATAGTTGTGTGACCAATGACAAAAAGGGCCACGTGCGCATCAACAAAAAACACATATGAAGAACATCAAAGCTGGGTAGAACACCAACACATGAGGAATCAATGAATCGTTTGAAACGTTGAAACCTTTGTATCGGGGGAGTTGCACCCAACGCGTGAGCGAATACAGACTATAGAGGGTCATTGATGTCTGTCTGCAAAATGTGGGAGTGGGTTTCTGGGAGCCAGTTGGTTGATTCATCCTGATACCATGGGGTCACACCAACAAATAGATGGGTTATATTGCAACAAACTCTAACTAATCGATACACTACAAACGGTTGTTTGACTTGAATCTCTGATGGGCTGTGATGGTCACACAGCTGCCGCAAAGCCAATTGCCAGTGAGCTACACAGCTAAAGCACAAGTGCGTACAATTGCTTAGTTGACATGAGGTGTCTCTTTTGATTGGATCATGATCATGGGGCAATAGACACCATTATTTCTTGTTGTTTAAAACAATTATATAATTTTATCCCATGGATTAGCCCCATAGCTGCACCATGCAGCACAGCCCAGTCACATCCCGTCTTGTGATAGAGCTGCCGCAAGTGTTGCCGCAACGGCTTTTCTGCCGCGCGACATGCCTGCGGCTGCATGGCATCAAGGGAAAGATCAAAAAGGAAAGGTGAAAGGCCCTACAATCAGTATGTTGGGCTCAAGAAAAGGAAAGTCAAATCCGTGCGTGCCCTGGCTGTCCAGCAAATTTGCACCTGCAATTCCCCTTCCATGTGCACCATTTGCTGATCCAGCATGACCATGCAAAGTCCCCATGTTCCGTATGCGCACAAACAACAACAAACACCACATGTTTTCCCTGGGTTTCCTGAGTTACCGTGTCCAATATACTTACCGGTACCCTCTGGTTATTTAACATAGCCATGGAACATGGCCCATTTATAGATGGTGTACCTATTAAAAATGGTGATTTTCCATGGCTATGTCAAATAACCAGCTGGTACATCTTACAACCTCCCAGTGGCTACCGGCCACATTGCCTCCTTGAGATCTTGCAGCTTGACACGGCAACTCTCCAGGTCCTCCTGATGCAGTCCAGCGTGCTCAGTCAGAAAGGCCTGCGCCCAAAAAGCGACCCGGATGACCATTCCACTGCTACAACGTGTTGAAAGATGTTGAAAGTATTGACTGGGTGCCCATAATAACAAAGAGTTCTAAGATGTTCTAAGAGCTCCTGCATTTTTTGAAATGATGCCCCAGGATGCCCCAGAATATAAGCGCGGAGCGACTATAAAATAATGAAACGTAGAATGTGCGACGCAATTGCAAGCCCAGGAAGTTGATTGTAAAGGAACCACCTACTTGTAGAGAAGGATTTTTTGACCTTGATAAGTAGTGGCCGATAAACCTACGGAGAATGTCACCATCTTTTTGGATCAAATCCTCGATATCGTTCAACGGATTGATTTGAGTCATTTGAGGGGCAATGTTTGAGGCAAATTCACAGGAACCCCTTATTTCGTGTACCCTCTGGTAATTTAACATAGCTATTGAAAATGGCCCATTGAAATAGTTGATTTACCTATTAAAGATTGTGAATTTCCATGGCTATGTTAGTTTACCAGAGGGTAAGTTTCCATGAAAACCGATTCCTGGAAGTTTGGGCCACCAGCACTGCCATAATCCGCCATAGAGTGGGCCTCAGCATCAGCATCCACCGCATGGCCTCTGATCTGCTCATGCAAAAGCTCTGCCTCCTTCCTTGAGGACTCACCTGGGATCCAAAAACCCATAGGATCCATGGTGCTGGTATATATGCTAACATGACTGGGGTATATTGATGGTAAATGTTACCATATTTAGCATACATGGATCCGATGGGAAATGTCAACCCAGGATGAACCAAAACCATGCGGACGCCATTGCCCATTGGATGGATTCGGGGAGTGAATTCGCAGTCGAATTCTCGCTATTTTGGGAGCCCACCCACCTAATGAAAAATTGCTAAGCCAGGGGAAATCCCGTCCTGGGGTGTATATCTGTATATCTTGAAGTTTGTTTTGCAAAGTTGATTTCAAGTTCAAACCCCAATTGATAGTTATATATAATATAAACCATACTTAAACCGTATAAAACCAGTAAAATAGTTCCCCAAGTCAAGTTCCTAAGTTCCTAATTCCTACATATATTATCCCATTAATGATCAAATAATTGTCCCACAATTCTTCCATGAAATCATCCGATAATTATCCCATATTATCCCATGATCCCATGACATAGTTATTCCATACGTAACTTCCCTAAGGATTACCCTCCAGCAACCTAACATAGCTATCTCTTCCTGTGGATTTGCACAGCATGTATGCTTATTAAAATCTTGGATGGTAATGGAAGGTATCTCTTTCCGTGTGGTCCCATCAGTCTTCCATCAGTCTCCCATCATTCTCCCATGGAAAATGGATGAAAATCACCTACCTCTGGTAAACTAACAGTTCGCTCTGGAAAATAACTATCTTGAAGTTCAGTAAATCAAGTGAATTTCGAAATGGGCCATGTTCAAGTTCGCAAACTGTTAGTCATTACCAGAGGGTACCTGATTTTCACATATTTTCACCATGTTTTCCCATGACTTGTCCACCAGGCAGTGGTTTTCTGGGTACCAAAGGACAGTTCCCAGCTTTCGCCCAGCTTTCGCCCAGCGACGTTGCGCCTCCCATGCCTCCAGACTTCGTCGTACCTGCGCCGCCATGGCGGCATTCACCACCGCGCTGCGCGCCAGACTGAGGTGCTCAGCAGCGGCGTCACGGGGTAAGGTGGGCCCCAAGCGAAGCTCATCCTGGAAGCAGCTGGGAAAAGTTGGGGATTTGACTTGGATGGACTTGGATCACATGGATTTTCCCTGAAAACTTCCGATATTTTCATGGGACAATCTATGGTTTCCTGTGTATTGACTTGGATCATGTGGATTGGTGTAAGGGTTTTTTCTTGCAAACATCATATATTGCGATATATTTCGATGAATATCCACGGTTTCCGGTCTACATTTTCCCTTAAACCAATCCATTGAGATATGCAAATATATGGAGACTTGATTTATATAATGGGCTTCTTTTGTTGATTAGTTCTAGGCCTTTTGCGACTTTATCTTTTACTATTTTTCAGTAAACGTATATAATATATATATATATATATCCTAAACCTGCTTTTCTGGGATCAGGATGTTATATATTTATATATCTTTCGGAATGTATTTGGTGTTAATCTGCGCTAGTGAACAGGACCCATTGTTAGAGAATGACAATGCACTTTATAAAGAATCCCAAGCGTGATTTGCTGGGATGACCGTCTAACATTATTTGAGTTTCACCTTCTGTAACATGACCCATGAAAGTGGAAGCATTTTGTTTTCCAGTAGAAAAAACTTTCTCCATTTTCTTCAGGTGTGATAACCAAAAGATGCAGTTTTTACAATTGGTTGCTTGATTAGGCCATGGCGGCCATGACACTGATGGTTCCCATCAGGGTCCGTGGGACGCCCGAAGAAACTGCAGTTCTCGGATCCCAACAGCTAAAACTGCCAAGGTGCCCAGATTTCCTTGCAGCGTCTGGCATTTTCCAGGGTCCTATCTTTCAGATCAGACATGTCCTTAGCGCCGGTGCCCCATCCTGACAATAGAAAGGATCCTAGAAAGCAATGAAAGCCACAACCCCTCAACTACTGGCTTCTGAAATCTGACTAGATATCAAGCGATACAAACCTCCCACCAATGGATGATGATCAACAAGCTCACTGTAAGTTCCCCCTGATTACAAGGTATTACAAGTAAAAAACCAAACAAACAGGTGTCAGCTGACAACCCTTAGTTGATTACCTGGGGGTCGTCTGCGACTGAAGTGCCTCATAAACCACAAGAGCGTACCGCTATAAACCAACAACAGTGCAACGGTTTCACGACCAGTCTCTTTCTGCAGCTCTTTCAACTTCGCTGCCATTGCACCTTGTAACCATCGCCAGGAGCCCAGGAGGTCCCCCCCTGAATTTCACATTTTAGAAGTACCCAAACGCTCGACTCAAGATGCTTGACCAGTGCTAAGTGATGCACCTAAATCTCCATCTTGTGGAAGATCTGCAACATCCACACCTCAAGCACCAGATAGCTGTATGTCAAAGGCCAAGGGAAGGAGAGCAAGGAGAGACTTCCAGGATGACATCTGGGAAGTCAGAACTCATAGAGCCTGAGTTTGGTTATTCTTAGTTAATGCAGTTAGTATTGAGACATTTTGGCCATCCTAGATCGCTTTTAACATTTAAACTTCTTACCCCACACCCATGTCATTGATCCAAACAAAAAACATGCCTCAAGAATCTTGAACATGCGTCTAAATGACGTCTGGTTGCAAAAATACCTAAACATGTCAAAATGACTTCCTGCTTGCGGCTGGGAATTTCACATGGCCGGTAAGAAAACTCTGGCAATCTCACCCAGCAATTGAACTTGCCCACTATATACATGTGGTAAGCACAATAATAAACCATCCTCAACCAACTGGGGGTTAAACTTCTAGAAATGATGCAACATTATCCTCAAATGGTTGGCTAATTGGATGCTTGATTAGTTATTGGATCACATTATTCTCATGGACGTGTCCATTCATAGTTGATTTTCCCACTGTATACAATTTCCATTTATACATGGTGTTCTGATATTCCTCCGTACATGGGGCTTACAATGGCTGAGCATCGCATCCAGCGCCACAACAGTGGTAACACCTCCCAATTTGCGAGGGACCCATGGCCATAGCCAACTCTTCCAACTGTTGTTGGACCTGCTGTTTTCGCTTCTCTGCCTACCGAAGGCGACACCACTTCACCGCTGGAGCACTACTTCGATGCTTGTCAGGTTAGCCCACTTTAAAATCAAAAGACATATATTGTTTCTAGAGTGTCAATGTGGTGCCAAACTTTATCAGTTGTTTCTACTGATTTCTACTGATAGCAACTCGCTGTAGTCCAACAAAGCCCGGTCATCTACTCAATGAAATGCTGAATGTTGATGGGTTTTGCGCATTTCTTTCAAAAAGAACTGGCTCAAAAAAAACCTTAAGCCTTAAGCCACATTCAAGCCTCCATTGACTTCGGGGATTGCCCAGCTAGCCATAGCTAGCCATGTTTGATCCGCCTCTTTCTGGAGCTCTTCAGGGCTCAGATTTTCAAAGTCGGCCAGCTGGCTAGGGTCCAACCCCATCGCTGCACCTTGTAGAATGTCAAGCCAACAGCTGCATCAAACGCTGTTTATAGTACCCGGCCTGGTAATGACTAACATAGCTATTGAAAGATCCACCATTTTTAATGGGAAAATCCACTATTAATGGTCATTTTCCATAGCTACGTTAAATTACCAGAGGGTAACTGATAGTAACTAGCGAACACCAAAAAGATAGACAAGGGAAACCTTACTTTAAAATAGGGAAATATTACCTTTCCATTTTTTTGGGGGGCTACTGGAGATGGTCTGTATAATTACTAGAAATGCATCAAGTATCCATCATCCAAGGGATATCTTTTGTATATAACTATATGTGCAACATATTATGGCGAACATGCCTACTGACTTGCATAATTTGATATCAAATGAAACGATTATAGAACATACGAATCATCTTATGCCTTCCAACAAAAGATAGAAAAAACAGGTTGTGTGTGCATGAGTTGTGGCTCCGCTGCAAAACATGGTCATCTGGTCTGGTGAGGCTGGGTTCCTGAGTCATCCCTCCGTACTCCCTGGGGTGAACTTCAATGCACGGCAATTTTGAAGACGGAGTCGCATGGTAGGTGAATTGCGATCTATAACATTCTATAACTATAACTCTTCATGAGTGGATCAAAGATAAAAGCGGGGTTGTACAACTATAACTCTTCATAAATGGAACAATTCACACACCAACGGGCCTTTAGCACCGCTTTGAGCCGCAGGGTTTACACTTTTGTTTGATAAAGCATGAAAATCTTCAAAGCATCATGAACTCAACCTAACAAATTGATACACATTGTAAATCTTGCCTACTTACATCTACCTACTATCTTAGGTTGGGCAAATAAGACACATTTTGTCCCAGCGCATCATTCTGTCCGGGAAGGATCGGCAAATCTCTGGACAAGGCATACGCTTTCGCCAAATCCGTGCGAAGTTGGTCTTGCTCCTCAAGTCGCTACCACCGTGGAAGGACACCGACAGCCTCTCTAAGGGAAGAGGAAAAATGAACCAATATCACTCATACATAGTCTACTCACCTCACACGTGGCTATTTTATCTACGCATACAATTGTATCAGTTGAAAATGTGTGTTCATTAAATATATATGTATATATACATATATATGTGTGTATATAATTATATATATATGTGTATATATCTATATCTATATCTCTATATATATACATTGTGATATTCCAGCAACCATTGTTTTGAAATGCAAATGCTGTACTTACTTGTACTGTACTCCCTTGTTCTTTAAGGCAGAGATGTCATCGGCCACACCTGAATGGCCTTCAGCACTTGCTCCAGCAACTGCTGCAGCGCTGCGGCCTGGGGATCCAATGGCAAGACCTTTGCTTGCGACAGCTCCTGGATGAGAACGGGATTCCCATGGATTGAGACTTATCCTCTGGTAAACATACAAAAAGCTATTGAAAATGGCCATTTATAGTGAGTTTTCCCATGAAAAATTGTGATTTTCCATAGTTATGTTAGTTTACCAGAGGGTATCCCCAATCTGCTGGATAGGCCTCTTACCGTCAACCACCAGGGTTTGAACACTGCTCAAAGGGGTTGAAGCCTACTGTAGTGACCGGGTAAATCCCCAAGAAGTTGCGTCTGATAAATGTCTGTGTTTTGCCCTTCAGACACATCCGCTTGGATGTGGTTTCGAACCCATATAAATCCATATAATGCACTAGGGATATTCCATGGGGTATAAAACATGATTATTTACTCACTTCCCGCATTGGGATGCCCATCCTTGAAACCTACGGTCCTTGGCAAAACGGCCGGCCGCGAGGCTCTGTAAATGCTCCTGGATCTCCGTCTCAAGATCCTCAACCGTGGCCGGGGAAATGATGACACATGATGAGCGCAGGGATTTCCGGCCGGCCTATGGTAGTTTATAATGAAATAATTACAGAACATATGGGTAGGAATTCTCAAGGTACTGGCTCTCAGAATTCTTTCAGATATATGGGGGGGTAAAATCATTCCATGCATGGGGAATCTCAAATACCCCAAATGAAATATCCGCTGTCCTTTGTGGAGGAGGGAACCTTGACCCCGCCAAACAAAAGTGGTGCAAATTGCCCACGCATTTGGCTTCTGGGCATGTGACTGTAAAACCATTAGTTGAATTGGGAGCCAACTGGGCATTGTTCTCGGAGATTCCAAAATTCGGATGGCGTAAGACTCAACACAGCAACGTTCAAACTGTATTCTTGGTGGTCATCATCTGTGACAAACTTTAACCTGGTTTGTTTTGACATTCCCAAGGTCGCAGTACCCAAGCATTGGGCAAAAAACCATACTACATTCTCCAATTTGATTCTGCTTTGTCTGTGTGATCAAGCTTGCACTTTGGATGGGAAAACAAAGGACACATAATGCCTTCTTGTTGTGCTTCAAGGTTGGCACTGTTAGGTACCTGTCACATCTGCATCATGAATTGACTGCGAGCCATTTCCACCCAAGTCATTTACACGGAACTGTATACATATATATATATATATGTATATATATATATAGATAGAGAGAGAAAGGATAGTTCTTAAAATCATTTCTAAGTATACATATATAGATTATGTATGAGCATATCATTATATAGCTAGATATAACTAGGGTTATTATTTGGACATTGGGACATCCAAAAATGGGTCATTTCTAAAAAAACCTTAAATTAAGCAGTTGGAAACCCCGCTGCCTCGCCTCGCATTGCCTCTCCAGTTCCGCACGGCGAAGATCCAGCCTTGGCTATCATGTATACAGCTCATATATATATAATATATATATATAATATATATATAATATATATATATGTGGATGTAACAAAACCAGTCTGAAATCAGAAAATTACAAGATTGCTGAAAATTGGTAACTGCATGTAACTGCTTATCTTCACTACTTCACTGGCACCATCCCAAAATCACCAGTTCTATCGATGGGATATTAACCATCCCCAGTGATGGTAGGTTTATGGCAGCCAGGGTTTCCTTATTCTGTATATACATATATATATATTTACATATATATATATAGAAACAATTAAAGAGCGGGATAGAGAAATAGCAACTACTAGTACATAGAATATTCAAGCATCTGGTGTGTCTTTCCACTGCCCACCATCTCATTTCACTGGTTTCGGAGCCACAAACCCAATACCAAACCATGTCCCACCGAAGTCTTTAATTTTGAGATGAGAAAATTAACCATTGCAAAACAAAAATAGGGGTTTACAACGACTTATTTAGGTTTAGGTAGGTCATTGGCATACCGAACCCCAGCAAAATTACTTTACTTCGTGTGATCCCCACCATGACATTTATACATTTTGTTACTGGCAAATCTTCTGGCATTCTATCTGACACATTTTCTGGCATTCGATCTGGCATTCTATCTGGCATATCTTCTGGCATTCTACCTGGCATATCTTCTGGCAAATGTTCTGGCATATCTTCTGGCAGATGTTCTGGCATATCTTCTGGCATATCTTCTGGCATATGTTCTGGCATATCTTCTGGCATTCCATCTGGCATTCTATCTAGCATATCTTCTGGCATATTATCTGGCAAATCTGCTGGCATTCTATCTGGCAAACATTCTGGCACTTTATCTGGCATATCTTCTGGCATTCTAGCTGACATTCTATCTGGCATTCTATCTGGCATACCTTCTGGCATTCTATCTGGCATATCTTCTAACATTCTATCTGGCATATCTTCTGGCACTCTATGTGGCATATCTTTTGGCGTGGATACTCGCGGTTGAGGTCCGGCAGGGAACACTGGGCGTGGATGGTCGTGGTTGAGGTCCGGCAGGGAACACTGGGCGGGGATACTCGCGGTTGAGGTCCGGCAGGGAACACTGGGCGTGGATGGTCGTGGTTGAGGTCCGGCAGGGAACACTGGGCGTGGATGGTCGTGGTTGAGGTCCGGCAGGGAACACTGGCGGTGATGGTCGTGGTTGAGGTCCGGCAGGGAACACTGGCGGTGATGGTCGTGGTTGAGGTCCGGCAGGGAACACTGGGCGTGGATGGTCGTGGTTGAGGTCCGACAGAGACCACTGTGGTCGAGGGTCGCGGTTGAGCAGGAGGAGGAGGAGAGGAGGAGGAGGAGGAGAGGAGATGAGAGGAGAGGAGGAGCAGGCAACTGACATAAAATCTAACAACCCTCACCTGGCAGGTGGGGAAAAAAAAACAACTACAGCTTTAGCACATAACTCTCCGAGCAAGTGACGAGGCCAGACACTTTTGCGCTGCATGAAGAGCAGCTTTCAACACCGCCTCCGTCGAACAATGCAGTGGAAAATCAAGTATTTGCTCCATTTATGAAATTTCTGACCTGGACAATGGTCGCCCTTTATTTTTTTTGCCGCTAGGCGGTGACACTGGCAGTTTTGGGATGTCAGCCAGCATCCTTATTTTCCAGTCCTTTGCCTATACACCCATTCTTTTTCACACATCCCCATGCTTCATTGCAATAAACCTCGATGGTTACCATCCTTCCGACCCTCCAAGTACCTCGAAGGATGAGATCTATCTATCCTATCTATCAATCAATCTATCAATCAACCTAATCTAATCTAATCAAATCAAATCTAATCTAATCTATCTAATCTAATCTAATCTAATCGAACCTAATCTAATCTAATCTAATCTATCTAAGCCATATACAATGTAATTACTCATGTTTTTGGTAAACTTTGACCCATTTTTAAGAACTTTCAGGGTCCCCGCCTGGGTGTCAAGGATTTGGTCCGCCACTGGGACCCCGACCACCTGGGAAAATCATCGGAAAATCTGGGGAAGGTCCAGATTTTAAACATGAAGGTTTTAAAGGAAATGCCAAACGCAATGGTCTTCTCTTGGCATCTTTGATCAAACCACAGGAAATCTCTATCCAGTACCAAGGAAAAAACATTAAACCAATCCAACAAGTTGGCAATCTTGGTGGTTTCCTGGGTTTCCTGTTTCAAAACAAACATTAAACCAATCCCATGAAGTCCATGAAGCATACAGAATCACGACCGATCCGAATTGGGAGCACCTCCCAAAGGTGAAGCAAGTCCTTGGCGGAGATGGCGGAGAAAGCTGGACAATGGGGATGTTTTAGATTGTTTTGGCGGCTAGAACCAAGCAACAGGGGTCCATCACGAAGCATATTATTTAGTTGACCGGGCTAGTGGCTCAGGTGAACTGCTTCATCACCATGCAAGTCTGCCTGGATCATTTCTGGGGCTTGGTATGTCTTGAGGTCTTCAAAAAATCATCAGCCAAGGGTCGTCTGCATTTCCTTGGAGCTCCTGAAATTCATCGCGGCACCTGAAATGAGTCTTGTTGGGAGATGGGTCAACTGGAAGTTTACCTTTGAGAAAGTTGGATGCCACAAATGGCCAAAATTGGTTGGTTCCAGGGTCTGAAAATTGATCTACCCAAAACTGCATGATTCTGCAGGAAAAATATAGACTCTACCCTCTGGTAAACAAACATAGCTATTGAACATGGCCATTTATAGTGGATTTTCCCATTAAAAATGGTGATGTTCCATAGTTATGTTGGTTTACCAGAGGGTAATGATCTTGTGATCCACATGTCTCAGCCAGCTTTGGGGAATGTCAGCCCTCAGGACGTTGGGACGGTGAACATCCCGATGTCATCCGTTCATTTCAGCCTTTCTCTCAAGGCCAATGTGACACCGACTGGAGGTCTTAATATGTCATCTACCAAATTTTAAAAGGGACCCAAATATCGAAGCTACCACATGCATATCTATATCTATATATATATATACACACATATATATATATATATGTTATGCTTTTATAATATGTATATATTCATTATTTAATATTTGCTCCATCTATCTATGTATCTATCTATCTATCTATCAATCTATCTCTCTCTCTCTCTCTCCCTCCCTCCCTCTCCCTCTCCCTCTATACATTATATATATATATATATCCTCAAAAAAAAAAACATGATGCCAACTTGAAATATCTTGAAACATCGACTTTTGACACAACTATGCGGCTCGCTGAGCGACGTCCAGGCTACTGGAAGCTTGACGCCCTCATCCATGGCCACATGCTGCCAGGGGGTTGAACGGATCTACTGTCAAGGCTGGATGACATTCCCTGAAGATTGGAAGGAGTCTTTCCACACATGTGAAGGAATAATGTTACACATGCATATCTATATATGCGTTCACCAAAGAATGTCCACATATATTCATCTTTCCTGCATGAAATAATGTTACACATCTGATGTTCCACATCTAGACATATATCATTAAATAGTCTAGTACTAGATTCCATGCAAAAGTGCTAAGCTTGATCATCTGCTTGACATCGCTTTGTGATTCGGTTGCTGCACGTGTATGTAGAACCATAGTTTACCTTGGACAATGGGCCCCCGTCGACTGAAAATTCATGGAATAATGCTTATCATCATTGGGAAATGCATGGATGAATAAAGATACCCTCTGGTAATCAAACAGTTTGGATTTTGAAGAACATATATATATATATGTATAAAACACGTGTAAACAAAAACACATGTGTATATATACATACATATATATATATATATGTATATGTATAATACACGTGTAAACAAAAACACATGTGTATATACATATATATATATATGTATATATATGTATAATACACGTGTAAACAAAAACACATGTGTATATATACATATACATACATATATATATATATATATATATGTATATGTATAATACACGTGTAAACAAAAACACATGTGTATATATACATATAATTACATATACATATATATATATATGCATAATATACAAATATATACAATATTCACATACACATGCCTATTAAAAAATGGTGACATAGCTATGTTTATTTACTGCGAGGTCGGTTGTAGATTTATTCTGCTCTTCTGGGATGATCCATATTGATCCATGCAGTCCGCCAAGCTGGAGCTGGAGCCCCAAAAAATATGTCTTTTTTTGCCTCCAAATGGTAGTAGATCTGTTGCCCTCTGGAAACTTAACATAGCTATGGAAAACTGTGGAAAATGGTCCATTTGTAGATGATTTACCTCTTAAACATGTTGAAGTTCGATAGCTATGTTGAATAGGGCAACTATTTTTGGAGGGTTTGCTGACTTACACATGAATTAAGCATGCATCTTACAACTTCCGCTGGATCATCATGGATCATCCCACAGTTATCCTCACAGTTAGCCCCGCTTTCCGCTTTGCGGAGAAACGCGGCTAGAGCCGAAAGAAAAAAACAGAACGGTCAAGGGAAATGAGCTGTGTCCTCCTTTGCCTTTGGTACCAGAAGGGCCCCCCTAGGGTACCTACGTAATCCCACGTAAGTAAGTTGGCTTATAACTCGTTTTATTCGGGCTTATGCTGGATCTTTAGTGAGATGGATTTATAAACAAACTTGCAACTGGGAAGCCCTTTCCTGTATCCACTGGTAACACTGAAAGAGCTTGGATCCCCTCATCGAAGGATGTTTCCAACGAACTCATTCATAACAGAAGCAGCAGAAATGGGAGCCACTGCTCCGCTACATTAGTGAGGAGGAACGGATGCCTTTGACACCATCAAAAAATAACACTGGGCAATGTAATAAAACCAGTTGCACATCATCCCCAATCTTACCATAAACAGGTGACAAAAATCATCCTCGATTAGTATAGTATAGTAGGTTCATCGTTGGGTTTGCCACATTAACTGGAATGGTTACACATATTTACAACATTTTACAACATATTGTGGCTTGAAATGAGGGAAATTCAGGTAGAACACAAATGACCCACCATGAATGGAGAGGCCAGTTTTTGTGCCAAGATTCGTCAGTAAAGTCGTCCATTCCAACGATTTCCTCCACAATGTGGCGGACCTTTCGCAGTTCGAAGGCCATCTGAAGCTCATCCAGGATGGTGGCTGGAAACATCTGAGTATGATCGCAAGGCACCAGAACATGCTATGATCAGTGTTGAAAAAGTCGTCAGAAGCTGCATCCATCTGCATCCTAAGTCATCCTAAGTCATGCCTTGAACATACTGAAACCTGAAACCTCCCAGCTTTTCCCCATTTCCATCCGAGGTTTCAGGGAAATCATCCAAGCCATGGCTGGCTATCGCAGCCAATCCAGGGCCATCGTCGACATTTCTCGAAGTCTCGAGCTCCCTTTGGAGCGCCCCAGGGATCTTCTGCATCAATTTACCACATCAATGACCCTTTTTCAAACCACATTTATCATCATCCCATTCCCATCATTCCCATCCATTCCCCAGTCGAGCAGGGTCCGCAAGCCCACGCGCCTGTCGTTGCGTCACTTGGGGGTCCAGCGAGCTGCTGCCTCTGAGCAGCGCGACAGGAGGGAAAACCCCCATGGCTTGGCCCTGAAAAAACCAAGCGATGCCACAACATGGGGATCATGATATATGATGCACATGAAAATATATAAATATTCGATATGTATACATCATAAAAAACTGAATCTACAATACACTCATCTATAATTCTATATTGATATTTGGATGGATGATTTTCAGAGAATTACATATCGATTTGGATTTGATTGGATGTTGCATGCATGTATTTGGATGAACCCTATAGACAATACGCATGTGTATATATAAACAAATATATATATATATATATTATAACCACCACCGTTTTAACGGGGGGACGTACTCGAATTGCAAAACACAATTTAGACGTTTTTTGAGGGGGGGGTATGTGTCAAATGTTGGCAAGCATTTTTTTCAACGTCTTATTGCACAATTTCATTTTAGTACGTCCCCTCACGTTTTATATTACATATTATACTATACAAACATCAATCAATCCACGTTTGGGGGTTGTTAATTTCGACCCATCGAATGAAGCAAGCACTTAGAAAGGATCCCTATGGGGAAGATCTTCCTCTTCAGGTCTTCACTTCTGCTCAGTATCTGGGGGCCTCGCTTTGAATTCTGGGAGCCTAATTGGCCTATATAACTGTAATATCAGCAAGAAGTGGGAGGAAACGCTTGAGTTCATGGTCTGGATGGTCTCTGGAGACCGAGCAAAAGATGGGCTTTCAGCCTATTTGAACCAAAAAAAAAGTGCGAGGTTTCACCACTTTGCCGAAAAATCTGGGTCAAATGGATCATGGGCCCAACTTGAGATGGAACATGATGGAACAGAATATATTTGGGAGTCAAAACGCTGGTACCCTGGTGAACTCCACGATGGCTGGCACATCCCCGGCTGGTTATCTGCGGCCGCACCTTTGGCCCCTGCAGCCTGGCCAAGTCAAGCTGAGATGTTTTTGGTTGTGCCATCACACTGCTACCTTTGCTACATCTGAAAAAATCAGGTTCATGATTTCCATAGCGAAAATGAGATTTCCAAAGATTTTGCCAATTACCACAAGGTATATGTGACTTTCTTCATTAGCAGCTCTTAACAAGTCTTGACAATCTCCTAACCACCAATGCCTCTATAGGTAAAATCCTTCTACCCTAAAAATGATCTGAATTCAATGCAATGCGATCTGAAGACCCAAAAAGGGCACTTCTGAGCCCTGACCTGTGCAGTTTCATCCGGCTGACACATTAAATACTCTTCAAACAATATCTGTCTATACGGATCGCCACAAAATCATAAAGGACAACTCCCACAAAGCACCAACAAAAAATGTGAGCAAATGTTCGTTAGCACCTACATCTGTCGATTTTTCTCCATCCCAGGGGCTGCTGCCTCGTCCTCATAGATGATCATAGGCCCTTCCTCCTGGGAAGAATTGGGCGACCCTGGCGACCCTTCAATTTACTAAGGTTATCTGTTATCTTTGGATGGAAATAAGCACCAGATCAAACCATCAACTCGAGATGATAGACAACCACCCAAGAAACAATGTATATATATATATGTATATACGTGTATATATATATATATATTATCACTGTATGCTGCATGGAATTATCATGTGCTATATATATATATATATACACATATGTATATGATGATGATGATGATGATGATGATGATGATGATGATGACGATATATAAAGAGCTATGGAGTACATTTATATATATATATATACATATATGACATAGAATCACATATCTATGTTTGCTGAACTTGCCAAATCGGCCTCAAAAAGGGCGCTCGAATTATGGATCCACCGTCCTCAATGGGGCCACTTCTGGCCACGAAGAAGTCAGTCAGGGCGTTGATCCTTGGCACCGCACAGAAACCATGGAATTTTCACATGAAATCATTTAATCTATGGGTTTTCGGTAACAGGTCCCTAAAACTCTCGCCGATGATTTAATTTCGAAAATTCACCGAAAAGCATGATTTAGTTGCGAGTATTACATGTAAATCGTGATTTTTCTGTTCCCTCGAAGCATTTTTTCACATCCTAGGGATGGAAATTGCAAACATCATCCAAAGTTGAGGAGATTGAAACCACCAGCCTCTGGCGAGGATGGAAGGGGCCCCCACCAGGACTTGCTGGCACCGCTGATCTTCAACATGTGGAACGCATCTCTGATTGATCCAAAGGTAACTGTATCTAAGGTATCATAAGGTATCCAAGGGTTACATAAACTGAGCATAAACATCATAAACTTACAAGTACTGGAAGACATGCATTTTCATTGGCCACAGACATGGTGCACGTCTCAAACTTCGTGTCAACCATCCCCACGGAGACCGTGGGGAGCAGCCCCAGGCCCGTTTAGGCCCCAGACGATGGGTAGTCGAACATCATGGTGAAAGGAAGACCTGAGCCGTGCCCTTGAACAACAGAGCTCTTTCTGATATCTTTCTATATAATTAAACAAAAAATAAAAGAACTGCAATGTTACTTCATATGATTGAGGTCTTACGGATTAATGATTCAAATTTTGATTTTCCGCATCTCTTGCTTCAAAGCAATAATTACGCGAAACCCCTGCAACCAAATCCAATACAGGCTTGCAAGGAAATAAAGGGGCAAACTTCAAACGCAGTTGGTGCAAAGCCAATGTTGAGGAAATCATGATAAATCAAATCTGTGAGTTTCAACCCAGCAAAACTGAGATTGAACTTCTAATTGTAACAATTTGTGCCCACAAAACAAAGGGTTCACGCTGGCATACTACATGACCATTTGGATGCAGGGTTCCACTACACAACAATTCTTCATTACCAGGTCGTGTCACCATCGAGTGCCGCGGGACTCATTGACTCTGCAAACCTTTTCTTTCTGTCCGCGATGGGAGGGGTCACTGTGAAACTTTGATCGGAAGTTGTTTCCAATGCGGCAACCGCCCCATGAGTGTGGAAGGCCATAGGTTCTCTGAATTTTAAGTTACAGGATTGCATCCGAGCACAATGCATTTGCATGATCAATCCGCACAGATGATTCGGCGCAAAGACGAGGTGCGGTATAACCAAATAAACAGGACACATCTGTTTGATCCTGAAACAAAATGATTCTTATGTTCTTCTCGAGTTAGAGACACACACACTTACAAGGAACACACTCGCAAAACACATGCATACATACATACATATCGGCAGTACACCAACCAAATATGCAATTCTATACAATTCGTCATATGTCTCTTCATATTTGTTCACCTTGCCCACACTGCCTCCAGTGCAAGTTTTGAATTGCCACTCATGGGATTTCAATTTTGGGATTCATTTGGTGCATATTTCTTCAGCAGTGTTTCTTTCTTCTTCTGCACGATCATGCGCTCAATATCCTGCCGGCACGAACATGCTGCAACATCAACCCAAAGGTTATCCCATCCTGATCATCATTGTTCCCCTTTTGAGGTCATGGTTAAGCCACGTGTTTTCGTGGAAGTTATAAGACTGCCAATGAAGGGACCCTCATTCCCATACTATTCATAGACCAGACGAATTCATATACTACTCCCACCTTACTCCCATCAGAGCCCCCGATCATATGGGAAGATTATGGCAAAAACTGCTCCCATCCTTAAGGGGGTCCCATCACCAATTTCCCCGTGTTTTGGAGAATTTTCCCGCAGCCGTCCTCCATCGTGGGGACATCCACATAGGCCTTGAAATCTTTGAAGTCCTGTTCTTTGGGCTTCTCCTAGGCCATCACCAAAGGCGTGGTAAATTGTTTTCTGATTATTTGGGGAGCTCCATACTACTACTCTATATATATATATTTATTTATTTATAAATAAATAAATATATAATATATATATATATATACACATGTGTAAAAACAAAATATGCAAATAGATAAACATATATAATGTTATTTTACTATATGAATACTCTATTATATTATATTGTATTATCTTATATTATGTTTGTCTATACTAGTATGTCTTTGTCATGTAGCTCATTAATCCTTTTCACATTCCTGCGCCTTGAAATGGGGCTGCCTATTGGCATGCAGGACCAAATGCGGACTTATGTTAAGTTATATGATATTATATTGCCATAAATAAAAACATAACATTATTTTCATTATATTGCAAATTATTGAATGATATTATCTTATATTATATTAAATTATACTATATTCTATTATATATGTACGAAAAAATACACAAGAAACACATAAACCAGCCTGTGGGAACACATTTTGGCCCTTGCTTTGGAGGCATTGACCCTCATACAAATCGAGGGTCACCATCCAAACATCTGGGTGATTTGAGGATCATGAGGTGTTTTCCTGCAGCAAAACATATCTACAGCAAAAGGAAAAATGGTCTGGTTCATTGGTCTGGTTTGATGATCGGTACGTCACTTGGATTTGAGATTGCATTAAACTGATGATTGGCCTGAAGTTGGATGGCCAATATTGGCCAAGCACTAGACTTCTTCAACACATGAATGTCTATGTTCATGGCCAAGTTGGCCATAGTTGGGCCCCCTTCATTACCCCATTCTAGGTTGCCACATCAACAAAAGCATAGACCAGTTCCTGGCCCATCCAAATGCACGCTGAGTGGCTACCTCTGGTTCTTTGGCCTGGGGTCAAGAGACATATTTATAGTGACTCGGCAAAAGGCATAGAAGAGCTAAGAGAGGCAAAGGTGATATAAATTTCATTTAACTAATATAATTTCTTCTGTTTGTGTGTGCGCATCCTGTTATAATAACAAACAGGCAGTAACAGGTCAACTGTTACAGTAACTCGTGATATGTTCATGAACGTTCAGGTATATATATATATATATAAAACCTGAAGAATCCAATCAGCATCCAAACCAGTCCATAAAGGTGACTCCCCCCAAGTAGCAAGGGTGAATCTCAATGGCGAATCTCAACCATCTATTTTTGAATTAATTCGAATTAGTATTGGTTTTAGTTCATGATAATAAACCAATATAAAACATCTGTTGTCTTAATCATCTAATGATTCTAATGATACTAGTGGATTTTGTTCAGCCAAATTGCTACTTCCTTCTTTTCTTCATCCTTGTTGGTCTTGCGCTTCTTAGTCTTTTCCTTTGGCGCTGGCTCCGTCCAATTCTCCATGGCTTTCTTCACCTTACAGCAGCCACGTGGATGTGATCTGAACCAGTCTGGAATGTTTCCATGGCAAAAGGTACAAATTCAACAGCATGACAGAATGATCAGTGATCAGTACGTAAACATTGTTGAAACCAAGTAATTGACTATAAACGATGTCGAGAAATAAACACGCTTTTTGGAGGTATGTCACTTAGGTGGGACTCAGAGACCATGGAAGGGTTCAAAGTTGTGGGCCCTTGTAGAGTAGACGCTTTTGAGATTCTGAGAATGAACCAAGCTGCGCGCTTGTTTGACACCTCCCATGACTCAGAGGAAATTATTGTGCATGTGTATATTGTATGTATGGATGTATGTATGTATGTATGTTTGTATGTATGTTTGTATGTATGCATGCATGCATGCATGTATGTTTGTATGTAATGTATGTAATGTATGTAATGTATGTAATGTATGTATGTGATTTATGTATGTAATGTACGTATGTAATGTATGTAATGTATGTAATGTATGTAATGTATGTAATGTATGTATGTATGTATGTATGTATGTATGTATGTATGTATGTATGTATGTATGTATGTATGTATGTATGTGATTTATGTATGTAATGTACGTATGTAATGTATGTAATGTATGTGATGTATGTGATGTATGTATGCATGTATGCATGTATTTATGTATGTACGTACGTACGTACGCATGTATGTAATGTAATGCAATGTAATTTAATGTAATGTAATGTAATGTAAGGTAATGTAATGTAATGCAATGGAATGGAATGGATGTATGTATGTATGAATGTATGCATGCATGCATGCATGTACGTATGTATGTATGTGTGTATCTCTATCCATGTGTAAGCCTGGAAATCTATATCATGGGCAAATCAAAGTTGGTTCTAAGATCAGCCCAGGGTTTGATTAATCTGATCAAACCCATCATTCTGATCATGAATGATCATGAAGGTAAAGTCTGATACACACATGGAAGTCTTACACTGCATGCCAACAAATGCCCTTGGATGCCCTTAGGTTCACAACACGCTTCGTGACCTCAAGACCACCCGCTTTTTCAGCACCTAGTGGCCGACTGTTCCTCAAACATCTGCTCAGCTAAGATCAACATCCCATCCTCTTCGTCTCGCCAGCCATAGTAATCCGGCTGAATATACTGGAAGAGCTGTTTCCTGTGGGCTGAACTGAATTTGACAGCATGAGGCCATCAAAAGAACAGTGCTGCTGGCGGCTCTGCACGGAGTTTTAGGGATGACATGGGCTACATTATGTTTGAATGTTCAGGACAGAACTAAACCCAGTCTCATCCACAATTTGCCATCTGGTAGTTTAGATAGCCATGGACAATCTCCCATGTGCACATATCTATTTTTTTAAAGCATGGTTTACCTATGAAACAATGCTGATTTTCCATAGTTACTGTATGTAACAAAATGCCGCAGGGTAATCCCCTTGTTGGTTGCCATTGCTTGATTGCAACCAACTCTCCTAATAACTTGCTTCGTGACCTCCTTTCACTGGCTAGCTACTGTCCCATGAAAAACTAAGTGTGCTAGTTTCAACCCGTGCCTGACGGAAAAAAAATACACATACACACACATATCATATTATATATATAAGTAACTATATATATACGGCAAATGCCTGGGCTTTGCCCGGAACCGCAACCACGACAAGCAACGCATCATCATCATCATCATCATCATCAAACCCTTGTTGAATATCTTCAAAATGAAGATAAAAGTTGAACGGGGTAGGAGAATTAAACCCTTATTGAAGATCTCCAATGAATGTAGAAGTTTGAAGGGGGTGGGAGAATTCAACCATCATTGAAGATCTCCAATGAATGTAGAAGTTTAACGGGGGTGGGAGAATTAAACCCTTACTGAAGATCTCCAATGAATGTAGAAGTCTAACGGGGGTGGGAGAATTAAACCCTTATTGAAGATCTACATTGAATGTAAAGTTCAACCGGGGTGGGACTTTAATATTCCCTAATACCTTTGTTGATCTTCTCAAATGAATGTAAAGTTTAACGGGGGTGGGAGTTTAATATTCCATAGTACCTTTGTTGATCTTCCCAATTGAATGTAAAGTTTAACGGGGGTGAGGGTTTAATATTCCATAGTACCTTTGTTGATCTTCCCAATGGAATGTAAAGTTTCACGGGGGTGGGAGTTTAATATTCCCCAGTACCTTTGTTGTTTTTCACAAAGGAATTTTGTGAAGTTGCATCAACATTTGTTTGGGAATGGGAAACCTCTACGCTGCAACGCCTGGGCAAAGCCCAGGCGTTGCGCGTATATACGTATATATATATATATATGTATCGTGCGATCGTCATTAACATTTAACCAATAATTTGATGGCAGCAACATCCAACAACATCATAGAGACGTGTCTGAAAATGTGGTTATTCGATCAACATACTATAAATATCTATAAATAGGGTTGACAGTAAAATGCACCATAAATGGGTTTGTCTTATGATAGTGTAATTACCACCCTAACATTGATGACTATATACCTGTATCATTTTCCTCTACCCTTTTCACATTTTCAAATAGCTACTTGGGGGGATACCCCAGTTTGCTGGACAAGCCCATGTCTTATCATGTTTTTGTGTAAAAAAAACACTCATTTTTTTTAACCCAAATGATTCCCATGGGTAAACACCAGGGGAAAAAAAAACAACACGCAGTGTTTGAAACCACCCAGTAGATTCATGTAGCTCCAACGACTCCGGTGCCTAGTCTTCCGCGGGGCATCAGGGACGATCTCAGTCTCGAAGAGTTCGCGCACACCCGGGAGGTCCTCATGAGCCATTGGAGCCATTGCGCCATGGCAATGGGGATTCAAAAAAAAACCAACCATTAAAATTGGTGGATTGACCGATTGACCATGAGAAAATGCTGGTTTCATCATGAATCAAAGCTGGGAATGTAAATCTCGAGTTTCTCCGCAGCTTCATGATTTCCCCACCGATGCCTAAGATCTTCGCAGTTCAAACATCTCGACATCCCGTCCCCGGAACGGTCCTTGGCGGCTCCAAAGTACTTGTAGCCACTGTGGGCTGCCAACTCGGCGCCGTAGGTTTCCACATCTCCACGTGGAGCGCTCTTGTAGTCAGCACCGCCCAAGGCTTTGATCCTGACAGCGCGACAGCTTCGATGGAGCCCAGGAACACTCTGCTTCGCACCTTGCCTAGTCCACCCCAAGATTCTTCAAACCAACATGCCTTATACCTTCCCAAGACTGCTACATTCATATATATATATATAGATATACATATTGATATATTATAGGTACATGCTAGAAACCTACCCCACGTACACAGTAATAATATGTAATAGGATACATTTGGAGGATTCCTGTTTGCCTCCTTTAAGGAACTTTAGGATGTCTAAGATCTTAAGAGTATCTAGACTGGTCCGATCACTTTTGAGTTTGGCTGCCACCATACATCATCATCATTGAACCACTGCGCTGCACAAACGTTGGAAAACTCCATCTTTGGCAGGGTATTTGGAACCAGTGATCCAACAACTTTCAAGATTTGCGCCTGTAAATTAGCCTCTGGTAATCTAACAGTTCGCTATGGAAAGTCACCAGGCTTTTTTCTCATGGGTGAATCATGGTGAATCATCGTCTGGCCATTTCTATGGCCCACGTGTAACCATCATTTTCACCAAAGGGTAACGCCCACCCTTCATCTTCTGCGGAGCGGCTGGTCTTCCCAGTATCCTTTCTCCCTGAGATCTTTGTTGATCTCATCGTTTAAGTCCCTGATCCGGTGCTCGCCTCAAGGCATAAGCCCGAGGACTTTGGGTATGCGGTCATCATCCCTGCCTAAGTGGACTTTTATTTCCAAGTGCAAACATGCCCAAAATCCAAGGTGGAGGAGTTAAATAGCAATCAAAGAGCAACTTGAAAAACACAAGCCCAAAATTATTCTCCCGACTACTCTTTGTCACTCTTTGCTGGGTTGTACTTATATGATATATGAGGGTTGTACTTACTGATATGATATATGTGTCAATCAGCTATAAATACACGAATGCCAAGGGGCTTTATTGAAATCACACCACTCGCCTCTCCCTACGGATTCTGTTGCTGGAAGGCTGGATATATTTATATCTCTTGGATCTCAGCAAAAGGATTTCGTAAAACAAGTGCAGCGTATTGTATGATAAAGTTGGATAAAACTTGTTATTTACATTCAGCATGCCAACAGGATCAGTAGGATGTAATTCAACAACAAACTGGTATTTTTGCTCAACATCACAGCTTACCAAGTCAGTTCACCAAATAACCCCAAATTATTTAGATGGGCAAAGTGAAGTTAGCTCACTGGCGAATAAAGTGGCATTTAACCAATTATAAACAAGTATATAAAGGGAGGTATAACCATGTATAACCCAATTATTCATCAGCTACAGAAACTCCAAACAATAAGAAAGGTTAACTCCAATCCTGAAATAATGATAACACATGGTAAATGTTTTAAATATTTTTGGAGGTTGCTATAATATAACCAACTAAGCATGGACGCCAAGGCTACACCCCAGCCATGGCCCGCACCCGCCTAATGCCGCGTTTTGGATCTCCGCGATCTTCTTAGCCACGCCGCGAATGATCTCCCCGCGCCAATGCTCGCATTCCTGGTGGCTTCTGTAGAAATGTTTGGTGCTGGGACGGTTACCTGTACAGTTGCAGTAGAGGCTGGTTTTCATGCCTTATGTTGGGATGTATTGTTGAGATGTTGAGGGGCCCCCGAATGATGAGAAACACTTTTCACCGATGCCCCCTATTTGAAAAAAAACAGAATATATAAGAATTTGGGAAATGTATTGGAAGTGTCTGAGGATGTGGGAAATGTAAGTCTGTCAAATATTGGTGAACATAGTGACACGTCAATGATTGGTACCAACAAAGCGGGACAAAAACCAGCAACATGCTAACCATCGAACATCATTGGTCCTTTCGACCACCCTTCCTTGTCTAGTAGAGGCTTCAAGGGAATCTCAAAATAATTGCCTTGGAAAAAACATGGATAGTGAATCTGCCACACAAATCCTGGCTGTCCTTGACGGTGGTCACTTCTGATGCAATCTTCGGCCTCTTCTTGGACTTGTAGGGTCCATACAGGGCAGTGTCCGGCAACGCGCCTGCCGTGCTGCAGGGTTTATTTAGTAGGGAAATGGGAAGGTACTGGGATGGAGCGTAAATGGTTCAAGAGTAGAGGCATTTATAACTACATTTGTTTAACTTGGGCCAACAGTTGAGACGTGTCAATCTAAGCCCTAGAAATGGCCGGGGACGAACCGGACACCATGTTCAACCATATTCGCACCGTTTATGGAGTATCTTCCATCAAAAGCACTAGGCAAAATGCCAAATCGACCAGAATCAGCCTTGTCACAGGATGATCCGCCCCCCATCAACCAAATTGCCCAACCCATCCCAGAAATCGCATGCAATGACCATTGACCAACTTGAAAGGGCACAGTGTCCAACATGCTCAACTTCCTCAAAATTTCTTCATGGCAGGCCTCCCATATAGGTCGACTTGCCCATGTTTTTCTGCATTTCGATGTCTCTCTTCTGCGCTGTCCATCGGTTCAGCGCCGACATCGCCTTCTCCTCATTGCGCGCCATGGCGACGACGGCGACGACCCCTGCGGCCTTTCCGCAGCACTGGGTGAGCCGGGCGTCAGGCTTCAACCCCTCCCGTTGAAGCAAAATCTGCGGTCAACTTGGCAAGCTGCGGCTGTCAAGAAACAAGCATTTCCGCAAAACATATCAAGTTTCTCAGTGCTGTTCCTATAGACTTCCCCAACATATGTATATATATATATATGTATATATATAATTATATGCATGCCAACAAATCCAGAGGATTGGGCCACGTTGGGAAAAAATCAACTCATCTCCGGTCAGCGCTTAGATGTGCTTAGGCCCCCTGCTGGCTCCAGGAAGTTCCTTACTGAGGGAGTTGCGCAACAGGACCTGGGCCCAGCATCCCATCCTCCACGGAGGTTGCTGATAGGTTTCCATTGCAGTGATGGTTGTGCAGGCCGCAACCGCTGGAAAATCATCAGATGATCCGATGATGATCACCAAATTTCATCGAATTTCCCCACGAATGTACGTTGAGTCGAAAAAAGTGGTTCTCGTCCGATTCTCCTTTTAAAAAATGTTCACCTGTCTGGATCACTGTCCCAACATACCAATCATGTCAAATCACTTCCCGTGGCTCAGGCTCCCCACGGCCGATTGGCTTGTGAGTCCTGCTTGCATGAGTGGAGTATCCTTAGCTGCATCGTCTCGATGTAACCCTTGGAACCGGGTGTAGTGATGGTCGTACCACCTACTGATGTGAAACAATCTTTTTGGTGAGCTATAACGTTGTACACAATAACAGTTGCCTGACAGCTCGGTTCTTATAATCCAGTACTTCACAAGTTATATAACTCCATGGCCAATCTAAGTACGGCAACCAAACATGGCAGTGGCAAACAGCCGCCCTTCACAAGAAAAACTCACATACTGTAGTAGAAAAGGAACTTGTCAATTGCCAAATAGACGGCAAAAGGAACAAAAGAAAGAAACAAACACATTTATGAAGCATTAGTGCTACAGTACTGCTGGCGTTCTGCGTCGGTGAATGTTCAAGAAATGACCAATAGGTGGTCCCACGTGTTTTGTCTGCAGCTTCTTAATGTGTAACCGCCATTCTGTAACATATATGCCATTATCAATAACATTGACTAACATTAACTAACATGGACTAATCTTAATTGTAACAACTGACATGAACTATATATAGACATTCTAATTGACTAACATTATCCCCATATCTACCAATATATATATATATATCATTAACTATACATATATATATATATATACACATATAAATATATATATATATAGATACCGTAAATCCTAGTTGAGAATGGTTAACCTACTTGTCAACCACCCCGCAGCCGGATTCCAACCATGACTTCGCCAGGCAGCATCCACCAAATCGTCCATGCCGACGATCTCAGCCACCACGTCACGCACCTAGCCATAGGAAACAGGGGGAGATGGTTATTATTCCTACAAATAAGTTATAGTTATAGCAATAAAAAGTGCAATATAGGCAGCTTTATTGCTACGAACCCCATTAAACATAATGACATTGTATGGATGTTTCCTTCAAGTCATGGGGATACCCCAAATCAAGTCAATAAATCATTTTGGTACTGAAAGACATGCTATTGGGGATCCCCAATTAAAAGACATCCAAACAGCGTGGTGATGTTTCATGGATGAGGTTGAATAAACATGTCTATCTCTCTCTTGAGGTTTCTAGCGGCGCAACCTACCTAAGCTGCTACATGCTGCTACCTATGTAATCAACCTATCTATATACCTATCTACCTACCTACCTACCCACCCACCTTCCTATATGTTTATCTACTGTTTCTCCCCCTGCAGTATCCATCCATGTTATGCCTATCTACACATACCTTTAGAATTTAGAACCAGCAATTGGGAATCTAGGGGACCAAAGGCAAACAAATCTCTCCCAACATATATACTCTGGTGAAAAAAGTTCCCCTCCAAACCCCTGGTTCGCCCACACCCAAATAACACTTCCAAATAATATCATATACTTGTCACCAGACGATGAATGAAAACACTGGCTCTACGCAGCGATTTTGACTTTAGGTTTTCAGGATTTAGGGTCTTAATTTAGGGGTTTAGGTTTTAGGGTTTTGGGGTTTGTTGTTTTGCAAAGTAAACAACTTTAACCTTACGCCCAGAAAGGATATACTGGATTCGCTGCGGGCAAACCAAAGGTTTGCAGCGAACAAGTTTTCATAGCAGTTTTATATTGTTTTTTATGTTTCAACTTTACGATGATTGCAAGGGGGTTGAGGTACATTTTAAACAAATTGGAAACCACTCACGAAAGCACCCCAGCGCCTGTTTCTTGAGTTCATCTGGGTTGGGACCTGAGCAGGAGCTGATCCGTCGACTCAGCTGCTGAAGGATTTCAGTGTTCTGTCTTTTTGGGGGGTTGCTGCATCCGTTGCCCTCCAGTCATCAAACGTGGTAATGGAAAATTCAACACCAGGTACCTTGATGATTTTTCCCGCCTGATCGAGCCTGGGCCACCTGAGAGGCAATGGCCAAGCGCTGGAGCTGTTGTTTCAAAGAAATTTTCTGTGTTCCTGTCCTTCCCTTGAATATCTTGAATATGTCTGAATTTATCTACTGTACCTCCAGCTACCTCTATCTACCTCTGTTATCCTCTGTTATCCTCTGTTCATTCAGAAAACATGGCAAAATTAAACATGGGTAACCACCATTGATTCAATTGATGCCCTGTTTCCCCTGTCAAACCTTGAAAAGTCCCGTGCCTGCCGTCCTGCCGAAGGGTCTTCCACCCATTCCTCCACCTGTGTCGGGCTGTCGGGTCGAACTTAAATATGTCCATGACTTCCATTACCTACTGATCCATCATTCTAACTTAACTATGTAACTATGGTTTATGGCAATGGTTGTAGATATGTGTAGATATGATATAATATCTATACTGTACTCACTCCATAAACTCTGTACTTTACATACGGTATAAACCAACAAATCAAGCGCCCACATTTCAATCACTATCGGAGACCATATGCATATGTAAAAACATCCAAAGATATAAAGACACAAAACACACATACACATCTCTCATCATCTCTCCGTGTGTTTGTTGCTGTGTGTGTGCGTGTGTTTGTTTTTTTTAGGTAAGGCATGTTGCAGCGACCATAAACCTCTCAGGGACATTGGGCGAACCTCTTCTTCCTCTCCACCGGCGGACTCCACGAAGAAAGCTGATAAGTCCGAAATCCTTGCAGGAAAGGCTATATTTACAACTTGCTTCACAAGCACATCAAAATTGTAGGTGTACCATGATGTACCAGTGATGTAAACTTATCTATCGAGGTGATCCCTTTCTGCGGACATGTGACATGATGTTGCATGCAAATGGTGCTTGAAATCCATGTACTGCAAAGATGTGAATTGAAAAGTGCTTCAAGAAAGTATAGTTTGAAAGGGCATCTTGACCCAATGACCACAAGAAAACACAGAATTTGAAAGGGGAGATGCATCAAACTCCAAAACATGATACTCTGAGGCCAGAACGATGGGTAATCGAACATGAGGGTGAAAGGAAGGCCTCAGCCCAGTAGATCAAGTTGTCTGGGGAAGCCATTGTGGTTCCCAAAGAATTTTCTTTATGTAAATGTCCCTTCAAACAACAACCAACCTGGGACCCAACATGCTTGGGGGAAATTTAAGATGCTAGCTGCTAGGAGAAGCATAGGTGACAGCTCTGCACAGCCGACATGGGTCATGGGGCATGCCGTGCCAATCATTCATGTAGCACATTGCCAGTGATAAATGGCATAAAGAAACAGAAGTGGCTAAAGTGGTGGTTTAATTACACTTCAAAGTGGTATGATTTTTCGACAGCCACAATTGGCCACATCTTAATCCAGGGCTCCACACTTGATCCAGGAATCCCGGTAGACAAGGCATTCCGCAGAAGCACCTCAGGAGAAAAGGACATGAGACCGTGGCAAACATGGCCCATGTCCTCAAATTCCACGGGTTGATTTTCAATACCCTCTGGTAATTTAACATAGCTATTGGAAATTGCCATTTATAGTTGATTTAGCTATGAAAAAATGGTGATTGTCCATAGTTATGTTAGTTTACCAGAGGGTAGTTTTGGGATCTTTGTTTGATGTACAATAAATGTGACCTCCACAAATCACGCCAACTCAGAGATTTTGGGTCTGAACAAATATTGTCAAACCGAAAAAATGAGTAGCGGACCAAATTACTTACTACGACATGGCCAAAGGGGGTGGTCCCCTATCGGTTGTGAAGGTTTCACACCAAATTTGAACATCCCAAGTCCCAAGTCCACTCCCTACTACTGTAGTCTTCCGCTAATTTTGTAGGTTTCTCATATAGACGTTCCAATCACTTTGCCATGTTTCTTGGTTCATTCCTCACTAGTGACACCCCTAAATTTATCATGGAACCTAACGAATGGTGTCTGCAAAATGATTTTCCTGTTGAATATGTTTATATAATATATATATATATAATGTATAGCCATTGATAGCATTGTTGCTAAATTTCTGCCAATATCCTCATCAAAGGCCAAACCTCCCAAGGCTCAAACAGCAGACTGACTGGTCAAGCCAGACTGCATCAGGGGCGTGTCCTTACTGTGACCGCTGTGCCAAAAAAGCGCAGCATAGATGGACCAACTGACAAGGACTTGGCCACCTGAGACCTATCTGCGGGTGCTTTCTCAAAACACAAAACTACAATGCCCGAAGCTCTCAAAATTCGCAACACTTGCTTTAAGCAATAAACAACATATTGGTAGTTTGTTTTTTCCTCTCACACTCTCTCTCTCTCTCTCCAGTGCCAGGTTTGCAGGCCTTCATAGCCCCAGGTTTGCCAGGCACATGGGACCAAAAGCTGAGGAACCAGCGTCCTGCAGGGCATCCATGCCCACAATCTCAGACACCACATTTCGCACCTGCAATCACTGCAATGCAAACTTACGGGTATCCATGAAGTTCTCTCTGTAG